GGAAATGGAGATGTAGCTGGAGGCCTTATTTATCTGAGGAAGCTGCACTTAAACGACTCCGTTGGGCCGTACGTTACCGACACTTTACCCCTGAGGATTGGGCCCGTGTTTTTTGGTCTGATAAGTGTACGGTTGAGCGTGGGATTGGTGTTCGTCGAGAATGGACCTTTATTCGCCCGAGAGACCAGCCGAAAGAAGCATAATATCAAGGATTACCACACCGAGGCAAGCAAGTTAAACAGATGTTTTAGGCTGCTTTTTCGGGGGCTACGCGCCGAACGGGGCTTATCCTACTCTTTGGGAATCCTGAGGCTGAGCGTACGGGTATAACTGATCTTGTTATTGAAGGGTTATACCGCCGGATTCTACCTACTTTGATGTCCAATGAAGGTGCTATTTTTCAACATGATAATGCGCCTACACATACTGCATACGTTGTTCGGGATGCTTTACGTGAAATGAATATTGAAGTTATGGAATAGCCTCCGTACTCGCCGGATTTGGACCCAATTGAAAACCTCTGGGCGCTATTGAAAGCTGAAATCTATAAGCTTCGGCCCGATCTCATTCATATGAGGAACAATGACGAAACTAAGGCTATTTTGGTAGCTACAGCGCAGCTTGCATGGGGTCAATTAGATCTAGATCATCTAAAGCATCTCTCTGAGACCATGCCGAACCAGGTGGAGGCTATTATTGAGAGCCAGGGGTGGTATACGCCGTACTAGATAGATACTTTGAATTCATGGAGTTTTAATCCGGCAGAAAATTACATAGTATAGGGGGTGTGGGGCCAGGGGTGTTAAAACTGTTGAACGAAATACAGCGTACTTTTCCACTAGACCATAACAAAAACCAAGGTTCCTGTTTATGGCCTAGGGAGGCCGTATTTGAGGTTTGACACACCCCCCAGGGGATGGATGCATCGATGTTGTAACTTCGAGGGATGCCATGTCGTATACATGTTCGGTATTGGTTTTTCAGTCGTATTGTATGCTTCTTCGTCCCATTTTTCTCCCATCTCCTTTTTTGTCCTATCGCTGCAGCGAATTCCTCTTTGACTCTGAGTGGGTTGGATAAGCGCTTCCGTCTTTGTGAAGGCTTTTTTTGGTTGATCGATGGTTCGAACCGTGAACTTCGATAATTCTGATTTTTGACCGTTTCGGACATGGCTGGAACAATCCGGGCTCATAACTGTTGAACGAAATAAAAACTTTTACGGAGTCACTGTCACGGTGCAAACCGTGATGCTTAGTTAGAGGAAGATCACGGCACGTGATCTCCGACCTGTTTATCTGAACTTCAGTTCTAGATCCTGTTGTAGCTCTTCGAGCTACGTCTTGTATAATAGCCTGCCCCTGCCTGTACCTGTCAATGGGAATCTGATCTGTTATGACCTGTTCCTACCAGTCATCTCCTATCATACCGTCCTGCCAGCCCGCACCCTGACAATTAGGCTGTTTTATGTACATAATCAGTTCTTGGCAGTATCCACTTTGCTAATAGTGCCCGCATATGTCTTGGCGACGCTAAAAGTGTCTCCACTTCAATGGGCGTTGTCGCAGTCTAGACAAGGCTAACTGAACGACATATACGATTTAGATATAATGAGTCAATGTAGTGGCCCGGTTATCTTCGGGCCAATTATACCTATCTTAGGTGTGGCACCATTGAGACATCCGGGACCTTTTGCATAGGTGACACCTCACATTTCGACAATTTGTCCTGTTGTGGGTATGCATCATCCTATTTCTATACAACCAGGAATTATGATCTTGTTGTCGATCAAGATAACGGAAATGAAGAATGAGAGAGATGATCCCGACGTGAAAGATCTGTTCTTCCATGAAGAAACAGCAAGACAAGTCTTGAAACTGAGAACGATAAGAGAACTTTAACTTCAAGGCTTCATTTAGACAAGGCCATCATTAACATATAACAATGTGAGGCGCAAAGAGAAAAGCTCACAAATCGTCAATGTCTACCACTACCAGCCTTGTCATCTCTCAAGTCCGAGCTCCTCATCTTCTACGAGCCATAGTGTTTGCTTAGATACAGATAATAGTGTTTAGCCAACCTTGATTGGGCATTAGGCTGACTTCGAAACACCCCCCGTGTCCCGTATAGGGTCTGATGGTCAATATAGGCTGCCCTAGGAACCTCATGCCCACTAGGTTGGAAGGTAAAATTTCCTCTAGCCTAGCTCTATCGATGTCCGATAGTAACCCCGTATCGCCTATGTGATGAAGCTTGTTAGCACTGCCCCTATATTATACTGTATGTTTATTCTTTCATCCAGATATAATCAAAATGTTGTAAAAATCTCCTACTACGGCCAAGCTAGGGCTACAGACCAAGAATATGGGGCATCTAGCGCCCAAAATCTCGTAGATTGTGTCGGCTATGGATGTGATGATGGAAAAATTCTTCAAATCGCTATAGAAGACGATATTGCCAACACTAGTCAGCGCATAAAGGTGCTTGAGCGCAATCCCTTTCCCTCACTGGTATCATGCTTCATCACGGCATCTAAATACTGTGCGAAAGAATAGTTTCGAATTGGGCAAGAGGAAAATCTGACTTGAACATTAACAAACAAGTAATCCCATAACTCCAATAGTGTAAAGGTCGGTCTCTTTAGAAGCCCATTTACACAACATAATCTGAAACTTCAGATGGTGGCAACCGTAGGCTGAACACTTCCAGGTTGGTCTTGTGTCATAACATTCTTTTCGTAATTTTGTAACCTTTTCACTTCACACCGAAATATCACCCCAATGTCCCATATGCACTTCACAGGTTTGCGCCGATCCCAGAACGGCGTGTTTCATCTTGACGCCGCAGATTAGAATATGACAACTTGGTTACCATCCACCTAGTTTCCCCCACCGATCGGGGTCAATTCACAGAATGCCTTGTAGGTTGTAAAGACATCATCGTCGCCCTCGCCGCTGCCGGTGTTCTCAATCGCACATTGAGCTGTAGCACCGACGAAGAAAACGTAGCCCTCGTGGACCTCCTCAGTCTTATTGCCGACGGTAATTTTGCCCTTACCACGTGTGCAAATGAAGATACTGGGGCCTTCGATCGGGTCGAAAGTGGCCTTGGCGCCAGTCCGGTTCAAATCGGTCTTGATAACACTGAACTCGTCGATGGGAGGGTCGTAGAGCATCGCGGACGAGGCGCTGGAGTAAGCAGTGGCGTTCAGGATGACATATGGGTAGTCTGTTGCTTGAATTTTCTGCTCCTCGATTGGTGCGTACGAGTACGTCAGCATCTGGGTGAGAGTGTTGACGTCCTTGAATTTCGGAGTGAAACCGGCTCGCACCACGTTGTCAGAGGACGCCATACATTCGATGATATCACCGGAGATATACGCGTGGATATCATCTGCCTTCAGGAACATTCCCTCACCAGGCTGAAGCCTGACAAAGTTGAGGAAGAAGAAGATGAACAGACCAATGTCATTCGGGAATTGTCCATCCAGACGCTTGGCAAGCGCAGCCATCTCGGCGGGGTTGGGAGGGTTCGTCTCCACTTCACCTGACAGGGTTGCAAAGGTGTCAGGGCTATTGTCTGCGGCGAAGATAAGGGCCCTACAGGCCGTCTCTACCTTCTCAGATGAAGATTCCATCAGAGTGGTGAAAAGGGAGCGAAGCGCTTCCTTATTATTTTGGATGACAGCAGGCTCCTCGGAGTTCTCCTTGCCTTTCACGAGCTGCTCGAACTCACTTGCCGCCTGGTCGCCGACCAGGGTGCGCAGAGGTTCGACGGCCCGGAGGAAATGTGTGATCTCTGCGAGCGGACGGAAGCCACACACACCCTCGAACGAAGTGAGGGCGATGGTCATCTCAGGCTTGTGATTGTCATCTTATCATTTGTTAGTCATAATTCTAGGCACTTATTTGTAGGACGTGAGCCTAAGGATTACTCACCTGGATAGTTCTTTGGGTCCTGGGCATGGAGCTGCTCTGCAAGCTTCTTGTTGGGATGGGCCTGGATGCTAAGCGCTTTACGGATGGAGAGCACCTTGAACAGGAACGGCAATCTACCTTCGAATCGTTCACTGATGCTGGTAGACAACAGGGACTGGTTATCTTGCACCATGTCGAGGAGAGTACGCTGAGTTTCGACATCTTTAGAGGGAAGAGACGGATGTGTACCCATCCAGAGCTATGTATTGTGAGCCCAGTACGTTCCATATTACCCCTGCGCTCTCACTTACTTCGGCATAGGGCTTGTCGGCCTCAATCGCAAAATCCGGGGCGGCTGTTGCGGCCGCATACTTTGCCGCTGCAGACTCTTGGCCGACCTTGCCTATGACCGGTTAATCAGTGCGAGGAACACCAACAAATGGTAATAGCTTACCCCAGTCATAGCTGTTGACGCCTATAGGGGGAAAACATCAGCTTGTTTTTCTTCTATAGAGCATCTCAAAACTTACCGCATTGCAGCCGAAGTAGTGGGACCTGCATATTGAATTGGATGTTTGGGGAAAAAGCGGAGGGGCAACCAGCGACTTCGTATTAGAAATACCCCGCCAAGCCTTCGGTGAGAAAATGTTGGACAGGAGCGATGATTTTGATGGTCTCTCTGACACACATTCAGAGCTTCAAAGGGAAGATTGGTCGGATATTTGACTCAATCTCATTCCCGGCTTTTTGTATCTGGGATTTGCGGAGTGTCCCCATCTGCCACGGATTCCGCACCAGGTACTTCCGCAACCATCCTACCAATTATAGCTTAAACTTGGAGCCGCATTGAGACAGTATAGTTCAAACGGGTTCAACCGAGCTTACGTTCTAGATTCGAGCACAAATACACTCATAAATAGGACAAGCGGCACATCATCCAACTGCCAACGTCAATGTATCTACAATGCCATGTCCCAAAGTAGTTTAGCGTAGCAGCTCCGACCGCCCGCAGGACGGAGCCCTTATCACCGCATCTCCAACCTTCATATCAACAACTTGTTGCCTCAAATCTGGAGATCTCAATATCTTGGGGTCCTGGTCAGCTGTAAGCTGTTCGTTCTCCCCACACTTTCTTACAATACCTTGGTAAATAGCAAGGATGTCTCGCAACCGCCCCCGACCCAGAGACAACGGCTTCGGCAATAATGAGGAATTGGAGCTTTGGACCAAGATTTGCCAAGATATTCGAAAATCCAAGGAAAAGTTTGACCAGCAGAATTTATTATCCGTCCAGATTAAGGCGTTGGTAGACAAGATCGCGCATGATGGCAATCGTGAGTATCCCCAACACTAAATCCGTAGGCTCGATACCGGACACCACAAAGCTCCAACATACGCACCGCTTACAATTCATTCGACCAGCTTCAGGCTGACTATAAAATGAAAATACTAAAGCTGTGCTCCTATATAGAACCCACCATGGCCGAACACGACCAACTCGACAGCTGGCTCCGCCTAAGCCAGAAACTCAGCGAAGACGAACGCTCAATTATGCAGGACGAACCATGCGACGTCATCAAAAATTTAGAATTGCTCACTGCATTGCGGAAGGCATCCGAAGCGGAAGCGCCCCAAAATCGGGCCGCATCGTTCAACAAGTCTCGCAAGAAAAGAAATGAAGTCGAAGGTTCGGTGACCGACTCCCCCAGTGCCTCGGGGGCTGACAAGACCGCACGCTCAAAGGGGACCGTCCCACGCAGCGCAAGTGTCTCATCAAGCACACAAGCCCGCGAAGGGGGCCGCCAGGATAATATCATGGTCAAGATCGAGGAAGGGCCGTCGGAGGGGACCAAGGGTACTGTCGCAGAGCGGAGTGGCTTGCTGGTAGTTGGGGCTCAGGTTGTCTTCAAACACAACAAGAATAAACAAGGTGTCGAGGGTGAGGGGATCCAATGCATTATCAAGGCTGTTAATGGTGACGGGCCGAAGAAGCGGTAAGTGATGTTCGGTTGTTTGCGTTTCGTCTCAATTTACGTTGACTGATGCGCGTCATGTCGGATCCCAGATATGATGTGCAGGACCCCGAGCCGAATGAGAATGGCGAGCAGGGGGCGGTTTATAAGACTACCGCTGCCTCTCTCATTCCCATTCCTCAGCTCAGCGCCCACTTGTCTACGTATCCGGCTGGCAAGCAGGTCCTCGCGCGATACCCGGACACGACCACTTTCTATCGTGCGGAGGTGATGGGTGCAAGGAAAGATGTCTATCGCCTCAAATTCGAGGGCGAAGAGGACGATAAAGAGATGGAGGTCGACCGGCGCTTTGTGCTGGATATTTTGGGCAAGTAATCTCAAGCTGTTTCTATGATCTGATTTTATTATGATACCATTTAAGCGTGGCGCTATCTGGAGTTCGAAGGCCTACCATGGATATGGGGTGCTTTCATCTTGACTAGATACTTTAGTTAGAAAGAACAAACTCTTTCTTTGAAACTAGCATAACTTCTATTCTTGGTTTAGTGACTGGGGAGATCTACATGGAGAAAGCTGAAGTTGAACAGAACAGGTCTAGATGTCTGCGACATGAGAAGTTTTCATCTCCATGTACCGGAAGACATTGCGCCAACCTATCATCTCGACCTTCGAAGATGCAGGAACCAACTATGCTGTCCGCACGGTAGGCGGCAAACCTCACTCCCATCATGCTGCAAACCCTCAACTCTAACTTTGTCACCCCCGACAGGCGACGTGATTTGGCTTCCGGACCGAGATGAGGCTGATCGCCCCCTTGTTGAGTCGCCGCAGCCAAATTTTTTGTCACGTAATTTTCGACGAAGTACGGAGCACTCCGTATAGCGCGTACAACTTTGACCTAAGACACTGTTTCAGTGCCTTGGAAAAAAAGTCAGAGCATTGATGATGGACGTGCCCACGTTGCTGATATCCCACTTAAATTCTGGTGGCGTGATGAATTGCCGCAAAGGTTGATCGTTTCCCGCCCCGATGTCGGCTCCAAGATGCTCGAATGATATAGTCGAAGGTAGAACAACATTCGATGAGTTGACTCTTCGACAACAAAAAGCAAAGCATTTCACCAAATAGTGTAATTCTAGATCAAGTCAGGATTCCAAACTTACCAAGTGTTGACTAAACAATTCTCCTGCCCTGGGTGGGCCACCTGGGCAAGGCCCAAAGGAATGTGCTAGAGTAAGCCGTTACATGAGATGACTCAGCCTTCTTCTCCTCATGCCTAGGGAGGACAGTCAGGGCATAGTCTACTTCGCAAGTAAAACTTTCGATTGATCAGACTTCGTTTTGTGTTTCTGCCACATTGATGTGTCTACGCTATTCAATCCCTACCCCCTGCATACTAGAGCTTCTGCAGCGAGCCTCACGCGTCACACACCCCGAATACCCCGCCTCTCCGCCGTCGCAATGACCGACCTACCGGCCCACGCCTCACCAAAACTTGCCCCGCGTACACTCCTGAGCAGATCAGATGGACAATCGGATGATTTGAGTGTGGAGGGATTCGCAGCAGGTGAACACACTCCGGCCCTACCGGATTCATTGCTGTCACCCGCATTCACCCCACCTGCAACCCCCGGTGGTACATTGAAATTGGATTTAAGGCCCACAGCAGTCCTTCACCACACCCAGGCAGCAGATATCCACCATAAAAGCCAGGGCGCTAAAGCCCCCAAATTACTCGAGCAGCTCCCCGCAGTGGAATGTATTGTGCGGGCGCGAATCCCTACAACCAATGGAGCGGAAATGTTCTTGCACCTTTACCACAATGATTTAGATGGAAAGGAGCATTTGGCTATTGTATTTGGAAACAGTATTCGCAGCCGGAGTCTGGACAGCGTCCGGCCAGGGGAGACCGAAATGGACCGAATGATCCGCGGCGCTTACGTTGGGAAATTACACCCGGGCCGAGTGAGCAGCCGGTATGATGACGACCTGGCCGGGTCAGCCTCGACACCGAAGCAGATCGAGCCGCCGTTGGTGCGAATTCATTCAGAGTGCTATACGGGAGAAACGGCGTGGTCGGCGCGGTGCGATTGCGGCGAGCAGCTGGATGAGGCGGCGCGCTTGATGTCGTTCCCCGTTGAAGATCTTGCCTCTCATGCGCCGCCAGAGGTTCAATCTCTCTCGTCACAATCGACAGGCGGTGTTATCGTTTATCTGCGTCAGGAGGGTCGCGGAATCGGTCTTGGCGAGAAGTTGAAGGCATACAATCTCCAGGATCTCGGGTCGGACACCGTTGAGGCAAACCTTTTGCTCCGCCATCCGGCTGACGCTCGAAGCTATGGATTGGCAACGGCTATATTGGAAGATCTTGGCTGTGGCGTGGATGCTATTCCAGAAGGAATTCGTCTGCTTACCAATAACCCCGATAAAGTCCGCGCTGTCGAAGGACCCAACCGGGAAGTCCTTGTTAAAGAACGGGTGCCAATGATCCCATTGGCTTGGCGGACTGGTGGTCAGAAAGGAATTAAGAGCTCTGAAATTGAAGGCTATCTTCAGACTAAGGTAAGTTTGCAAATTACCACCTAGATTTGGGATGATGCTAACATGCCGGCTGTGACAGATCTCGAAAATGGGCCACATGATCCAATAATCCTTTTAGCTTGTCATTTTGAACTTTTGCCTTCATCACCCCCCTTTTCATCTGGCTTATGCTTTCAGTCTTGCATTGGAACTTACAAAAGCCTTTGTATATGATCGACACGACCGAATCTTTTTCTTATGTGCATAATCTTGATCCTTTGGGCTTGATCCAGGGTTACATATGGCGTTGAATACTGCAATTTGTTTTTGTGTGGATTAGTTATTCAATGATTCGTGTCCGTCTCCAGATTCTCCTAATTTTTGGACTTTCTGTCCCTATATATTCTATTTGGAACAAGAATGTCCCTGGTTTTTCCATAAATCACGCCTTTCCCCCGCTTTTTCTGTGGTCTATCATTGAAACTAGGATGGCCAAAAATTTTGTGAAAAAATGGGCATCTTAAAAGACTAATCAAAAAGTCTTCACAGGGCCACACATGCGGTCGACTGTTGTCTGTTTATTCCCTGTCAACTGAATCTGATAACCAAGTCCCGCAGGAAAGTTTAAACGATGTGGACTTCAAACAACCTGGACCCACACAGCACTCACTCGTCTCACTCTACGGAGTAGACGCTCCTTAACTTTCATTCCTTATTTCCCCAACCTGAATGGCCAATCTTAATTAGCGCGTGTGTAAGGCAATGGCCACCCGCGCTACAAACGCCAATGAGCATGTGGCGCCTTCGCCCGACTTGCCCGGCTTGCCTGAACGTTCACAACCTACCCCCCTCAGCAGACCCGAAGACTCGCCGGTTCCTCCTCGTGCGGCCTCGATAGACGTGGAAGGACTCTTGGACAATGACAAAAAATTGGGACGCAAGCGCAAGCTAAACAGCATATCCTCAAGAGGTGTCGCTAATCTCACTCCCGATCAGTTGGCCAAGAAGCGGGCCAACGACCGCCAAGCGCAGCGCGCAATTCGAGAAAGGACCAAGTGCTACATAGAAGCTTTGGAGCAACAGGTCCGGGACCTGTCGTCACAAAAGCCCTATCTTGATTTTCAAGAAGCTCTACGCCAGAATGAGACGATTCGGTCGGAGAACGCAGAGCTCCGCCGAGGGCTTAAGGCAGCTATGGACATTATCCAACCATTGATAGCTAAGCCTGAACTATCGGGTCAGTTGCACATCCCAACACAATCCAAGTCTCGTGCTGACAAAGATAGATACGTCTCCTTCACCGGCTATACCCAAGCCCATCCCGCCCCCTTTGCATACAACTCCATTGCTCGACACCGATCACCTCAATTCCATTCCAGGCGATAAATTCTATGCCGAGTCTGTTACCAGCCTTGATACGCCTTCTCCCACTCATTCTGCGCCCACTCTCGGTAGTCGCCGCAACAGCACCAACGGAGGCCCTTCGTCGGCCTCTCTCCGTGTCGCATGGGACTCGCAACGCCATAATATCACACACGGCCTGGGCCTTGGCTGCGAGGAGCGTCTGGGGTTTAATTTCCTTATTCGTGATTCGCGTATTGTCCCTAAAGTCGATCGGTTTCACAGCAGCTGTTCAGAAAACTTCCGATGCCCTCCGCTGAATCCTTCGGCACGAATATACCCACACCCCTTGACCATTACATCTGAACCTGGGCCACCTGCATTCGCCGCTCCGATACAAAATTTACCAGCAACATGTCCTTTGGATAACATTCTTTTGGATTTTCTTCAGAGCCGACAACACGAGGCGGCTCAAGGCATCCCTAGACAAAAATTAGCCGGGCCACCGTATCCGAGTGTCTCCTCGTTGCTAAACCCGGAGAGGAGTGTCTACTCCCATCCAGTCTCAAAGGTTTTCACAGATATCCTGCACACCTTTCCAGACCTCTCGTCTCTGCCGGTGCAGGTTGCCGTGCTCTACACCATGTTCCTCCTCATGCGCTGGCAGGTTTACCCCACGCAAGAGAACTATGAGCGACTCCCAGAGTGGCTAACCCCACGTCCAACGCAAATTCTCCATCCACACCCTGCTTGGATGGATTATGTTCCGTGGCCAGGAATGCGTGACAGGATCATTACAAACTATCAGAACTACCCATTTGAGAACTGGTTCATTCCATTTACAAGTGGGATGAGGGTCAATTGGCCATATGAGGATACGGACTGTTTGTTGTCAGCTGGAGACTCGGATGAGCTGGTAATTAACCCGGTTTTCGAACGGCACATGAGGAATTTGTCCAACTGGTCATTGGGGACCTGCTTTGCGGAGACTTATCCCTGTTTGGCAGACACCGCACGAATCAAGCCAACAACACACCCTAACACCCCATGCGGGCCACACTCACCATGAGGCTATAAATCACTTGGGCGACTTCATTCCAATCACTGTTCCGTCTCGACCAAGTTGATCCTGGTCGAGCTTTCTTTTTCTATCCAATTCCCAGAACCATTTTGGCGAAAAGAAAATCCTGCTTTTTGACAAGTCAAGTTGCGTATTTAATTGGTCGGGTGTATGATCATTCTTGATAGTCCCAACACAATAGCAGAGGCATGGTGTGAGAAAGGTTACGGGTCACCTGGTCATATGCATGTAGCCAATAGATAGGTAGGTAGGTAG